CGCTGCGTGGGTTTCCAGCCAGCATCCACAAAAAACGTGTCCGTGGATAACTGACATCGGGGGAGGACATGGGGGACTCCCCACCCTGGGCCGCATGATCGACCCCACCCCACATGACTCCTCCCCATCCACCCCAGGCCCCGCCTCTCCCTGCACCGAGTGACATGGCTCAGGGCACCACCAGGACGGGATGGAGAGGGCACAGGAGGTCTGGAGCCCACCACAGGTAACCCCCGACCCCTACACTCACCAGCAATCGGGGGAGGACATGGGGGACTCCCCACCCTGGGCCGCATGATCGACCCCACCCCACATGACTCCTCCCCATCCACCCCAGGCCCCGCCTCTCCCTGCACCGAGTGACATGGCTCAGGGCACCACCAGGACGGGATGGAGAGGGCACAGGAGGTCTGGAGCCCACCACAGGTAACCCCCGACCCCTACACTCACCAGCAACGTGTGGGGTGGGGGCGGGGGTGAGAGCAAAGCCCTAGCTCACTCTGCACCCCCGGTCATATCCTTCCGCTTCCTGATATTGAGTGTGGGGGTCAGTCCCACCCCCTGCCCCGAGTGCAGGCCATGGAGCGCCGCTTCCCCCGCCGGTGAACATGGGGTGGACCCTGACCTCTGCTCTCAGCGGCCCTCACCCCCACGGCCTCAGGAGGGCACACTGGCGCCTGTACACCGCCCCAACAATGTGCAGGGAGCAAAGCAAATGCAGCACGAGACCTCCGCGTTCTCTTTACTGTGCACCTTCTGCCTTGGGACATTGCCAACTGGCGCTGAAAATGTGAACGTCAATTTCAACAGCCACCACCATTGGCCAATTATTGTCCGACCCCCTTCTATTTCCCCCACAACTGGTGACAATGAGAGAGTGTTAAAAATGGGGGGAGAAAAATACCTGAAAGTAAACAAAAAGGGATATTGTCCATCAAAACAATACAACCCACAAACATCCAGTTCTGCCCAGCCTGCTCCTCAGACTCACGTACAGCGGGGAACCAGCTGAGAAGAACTCGGGCCCAAAGAGCTGCACCACATATGCCAGGCGGCTGTAGCCGTGACAGTCATAAGAACAGTCAGACTGGGTTAGATCAATGGTCCATCTAGCCCAGTGTGCTGTCTGCCGACAGTGGCCAATGCCAGGTGCCCCAGAGGGAGGGAACACAACAGGGAATCCTCACGTGATCCCTCCCGTGTCACCCATTTCCGGACAAACAGAGGCTAGGGACACCATTCCTACCCATCCTGGCTAATAGATTCATGGAGGTTAGGCCCATCAATCGCTATCTAGCTCTTTTTTGAACCCTGTTAAAGTCCTAGTCTTCACCACATCCTCTGGCAAGGAGTTCCCCAGGTTGACGGTGCGCTGTGTGAAGAAAAACTTCCTTTTGTTTTAAACCTGCTGCCCATTTGGTGACCCCTAGTTTATATATTGTGGGAATAAGTAAATAACTTTTCCTTATTCACTTTTTCCACATCAGTCATGATTTTATAGACCTTTATCCTATCCCCCCTTAGTCCCGGGATCTTAGAGGAGAGTTTCCCTGATCGTGGTTCACACCAGCCCCCACAGCACTGGAAGAAACCCGGCTCCCTCCCAGACATCCGGCTGCTTACACTTGGTTCATCTGCAGTTCCTCCTCCTCCTCCTCGTCCTCTTGGGGCAGCTGGAGATAAGGGTTGTTCGAAGCCGGGCGGAACTTGTATCCCGTGAGGATGAAGAAAACCAGGGTAGAGACTTCAACCAGGAGCTGCAAGGAAGGAAAGAAGGGTCCTTAGGCCTAGTGACCAGAGTCCAAAATCAGGGCAGCTGCTGCTGCAATGCAGCTGGCTCTGGGGTGGGACATAACAGCGCACAGCAACAGTTCAGGATGGGAAGGGAGGCGGGGAAATCACACAGCAAGTTACAGAAAAGGAAAAAACGAGCCTGGATGTGCATTGCCCGCCCTGGACTGGGGCAGGAAACGGACGTGGGCTGTTGAAATGACTGCCATCAGCTCCGAATATCAAATCGGAGCAAGCACAGCACAGCGCCCCCTAGCACCAGCCTGGGGCGGCAACCCTGGAGAAGAGTACCACCGCTGACACCAGCAGGTGCTTACGTAGCACCGACTCTCAGCACTGGTGGTCGGACCACGGGACAAGCCGAGCTTAGGGGCAGGTCCAGGGCAGCGGGGGCCAGCAGGCAGCTCCCTGCCCATCTCCTCTTCCAGCTCAGAGGCATGAAAACCCAGCCACTCCTGCACATCTTTCCAACCAGACAGCCCCTCCCTGACGGATCTCAAAGCATCTCACACCCAGAGCCTAGCAGGGAGGGGTCCCCGTCTTGTCAATTAGGGACAGCCTGGACCTTGGACTGCTAGGATTAGAACCCGGGAGTCCTGCCTCCCAACCCCCCATCCCACTCACCTCATAGAGCCACTGCCACTGAAAGGGGACGGTGAATTTGAGCAGGATGGCGAGGACGCGGGAGAAGTAAATGTAACACACGACCTGGGGGGGGAGAGAGCGAATGAGGCCACGGCCCTGTCAGGCAGCCAGCGCTGGCAACTGCG